TAGCGCAGATAGCCCTCGTGTAGCTTTGCGCGAAATTCAAAAACAAACAAACAATCTTAGAATAAAACATAAAATTTCAGAAACATTTTTGCTCTGCTCTTATTAATTACAACAATGTAGTTGAGAGCAATAATTAAATTAAGGGTTTTAATTTGAACTGAATCTATTCCTTTATAGATTTACTCGTAAGCTCATAGCCATCATCATTCGTATATATTTCTCTCAGAAATAGTTAATTTCTAAGAAATGCGTCTTTGTTATTAATCTGTTTATGAAGTTCGTTTTATGTTAACAAATTAAATATTTACTTCTGTTTTTCATTTTATTTAAATTTAGATAGAGAAACAATGAGATAATCATTATAACAAAAATGCACTGCTCTGGAAAAGTAATTATCGGAGTATAAGACATGTATATTTCTCTTAATTTTTATCTACGAACATCGCTCATTTTCTGATGAATACGTGTTTGATTAGATTGAAGAGCAGGTCCAAACAGACCAGCAATAATTTAGCGTTGCATATTAGAGAGAAGAAAATTGAAATATCTTAGCGAAGCTTATTTGCTTCCAAGTTATTAAATTTTCAAGAACTTCCAAGACTAGAGATAAAATACTTTTTTTTTTCTGTTCGTCGAGAAAAGAAAGGATTCCTTCTTATTAAAGAATCTTTCCATTAAAGAAACCGAACGTTTCCATCAGATATGAATAGTAGACTGTATTGATCTAAAAAAGAGCTTTGGGCCCAAGGGAACTGACTATTTCTGTTTGTCAAAGGAAGTAACTGATGAGAGTTTTCCTTGTGAATATGTTCTCATTTTGATTGGTATCGATTTTTTTAAACCTTCAAGAGATATTTTGTTAACTAAGAAATGTTATCTGCACATACCAAATGCGTAATAATTTGAAATCGTCTTTATTGAAAATGAAAAAGAAGGATTTGGGATGAAAGGGAGTTTAGAAAAAATAAAATAATAGTGATCAGTGGTCCTTCCTAAGTGATCGCTTTAGTTCATGGACAAAGCGCGGGCCAGTAATTACCATGGGAGACTGAAAATTGGAGGTTCCGGGGTTCGTGTCCCGTTACCATAAAAACTAAAAAAATAGAACGTGCTTCGCTTTTTGAAGCCATGGATGCGTAATAGTAGTGACTGTAAACTCCCTCTGTTTGATTAGAATAGCCCAGGAGTTGATGGCGCTTAACAGTGGCTTCCCTCTTGTCTATCTCTTCGGAATTATGGACAGCTAACATAAATAGCTCTCAAGTAGCTTTGTTCAACGCAAAAGCTTTAAATCATGTTATTTAAAATGAAAGTGATGTCTGTCTGTATCTGTTGATATAAGGTCTCACCATATTTTCCTAAAATGTATAGCTATATAGCTGACATTTCAAGGTTCTTTTTTTTTTTCGTGTTATAATGTGTACTGTCGGTCAGTTCAATAAGTATTTTTATTCACTTTAAGTATTTTAGCGTTGTTTGCATTTATATTTCACATATTTTAAGGTAATTTTGAATACATTAACTTCAAGATCCGTTTAATGGTAGGATGGATCTTCGGAAGATTGAAAGCTATCATCACTCAGATGAAAAGCCGAGCGCGGCCAAGTGGTTAGCATGCCGGACTGAAGATTCGCGCCCTGTTACGTCCAAAATTAAATCGCGCTCCGTACTCTGGGGCATTATAAGAGTAACGACCCAATCCCACTATTCGATTATAACAGCTCACGAATTAGCGGAGGGTGGTGTTGACTAATTGTTTTCAATCTAGTCGATCGCGTCAAAATTAGGGATAACTAGCGCAAATGGTCCTTGTTTAGCTTTGCGCAAAATTGAACAAATAAAAAAAAAAAAGGACGAAATATTTATTGGATCCACTTTTACTTATTTATTTTTCCACGCCCAAGCACTTCGCCTATCTGAAAAATTGACTTGGAATGGTTAATGCCTACTTCATTTAAAATAAATTCAATTCGTCTGTCAAAAAGTGTCGCACATTACCAAAACGCTAGCCCCCCAGTGGCACAGCGGTATGGCTGCGGACTTACAACGCTAGAAACCGGGTTTCGATACCCGTGATGAGCAAAGCACAAATAGCCCTTTATGTAGCTTTGTGCTTAACTTGAAACAAACAAACAAAAACGCTATTTAATTCAGTTTTATCAGAGAAGTTAATCCTGGTTTTTAACCATTCAAATACTACGTAGTGACATACAGTGTAATATAAAGTTATTTTCCCTTACCTATTATTAAACTTATTTGATCGATCTTTGTGTAGTTTATTGGTATTGGAAATGAACGGCGAAACAGCAAAAACCGCCTTAGATTCATCTGTTCAAAAGATGATGATAATAATTATAGTATACAAAGAGCGCCATCTCTGGGCGACCTACACGATAGAATTTTTTTTTTTCTTTTTGACTGAAGCTGTGCTATCCACACCCAAATTTGAATCCAAAATCATGCCAAGGCATACTTTTGATCAATATCTAACTGTACCTGAAGTGTGCAAAATAAATAATGTGAAAACAAAAGTTAAAAGTAATTATATGAAGATGTAGAACAGAAACACGACTTCGATTTTGTTTCGCTACTGTCTAATATATATATATATATATATTGTTTTCAGACTTTCCATGCTCCGAGTTTTGGGGACGAAGAATTCGGTATTCCAACTTTAAATATGCCATCCGGTGATGGAAATGGAACTCGTGGAGATACCCTTGTTAATCAGGTAAAATGTTTAGTCCAATTTTCTGTCAATTTATAGTGCTGAGAAAAAAAAAAAAACTTTTCAAATTTAAAGGATCTTGACAGCTGACAGTTATGTCATACGGTATTCAATTTTACTTATTAAGACTCATAGTTGTGTGCATTATTTTGGAAACATGGATAGTTGATAAACATTTTTTTCTTCAATAATACTTAGACTTTTAATGAAATAATTGTTGTTATTTTTTGCATTATTGAGCACTACTGGGTGGGGTGTTCATGATTTAAAGAGGAGTCATCCATCAGTTTACTGTTTTACATAGTTCACTCAATCTTTTCTCACAGCTAAATCATGTTTAAATTAAATTCATGTATAACATTCAGTTCAAAGTTATATTTCTTGAAGGACAGTGGTACAATTTAAAGTATCCAACTCGATCTGCTCATTCTTAAGTGTTTTTCACATGTTAGATACATTGAAATTCAAACACGAAAGCTCATATATTAGCAGTCTACTCCTAGAGGTACCTTCATACATGTGTGTGTGTGTGATTGTACACGTTTTATTTAAACAATTTGGAACTAGAACTTCGACCTACTATTTATTTTTCTTTAAGATTACTGCAGAGAGAATTCTTAGTCAAATTAGTTTAGTACTGGCATAATGTCACAGATGGATCTGCCTTTAGGCTTAACTTGTATCTCATAAGTTCTTTAAGTACAAAAACATTTTATGTGTATTATCTTTTTACTTTAGACACACTCACTTGCCCAAACTCAAGGAATGACAGTAGTCATGACTTCTTCCACTTCTTCTCCTACTCTGGGAATAGTAGAAAGTCCCACAACCCAATATCCAAGACCTAATGTACAGGAGATGTACTTGCCTAGTATGGGAGACATCCAGGCTGGAGGGAATATAGGAATGCCAAACATGCAAATGCAGTGAGTTAAACACATATGTGCTGTTTAATTTTATAGATAAATATATCATGAGTTTTTTAAAATATATCTCTGGATAAAGGGATAAATATGAATTTTTGTTTCATAACTTGCATAATTTGGGAGTTTTTGTGTTTTTTTAAAGAAATTCAAGTAAAGTTAGTTAATTTGTCAAATCTCAATGTGTATGTTTTAACTGTTTTTAACTCATCTACAGTTGATGTGTTTAGTGGCATGATGCTTAGTTACAGTAACAGACATCTTAGAATTTTGTATTTATCATACAGTGTTACGTTTTGAGCCGTGGAATTATTGGCCAAATCCCTCAACAAAAATCACGTAATGCATGCTCATTCAAATGTATCACAGATATGCAAAGCAAAGAATTTCATCTTGTAACAGAAGCATTTATTAAAGTTCTTTTCATCAGTGATATAACTTTCGATGGTAAATAACTTGATGTATGTAAATGTACATAAAAGAGTGCACCAAATAACAAAGGTATGTTTCAAGCAGTTCTATTCCATGTCAAAAATTTCAGAGAAAAAAAACGTTATTTACAGACCAGATATTAAGTATTTTTGACTATGGGTGATTTTGTAATGAATTCTAAGCAATATAACAAGTAGTTAATATATTTATTTCGTGATTTCAGTGTTCAGCAATATGACAACCTCCCCAACACTTTTGGTCAAATGCCACAACACCACCAACAACAACAACAACAACAGTTGTCAATGCAGGCCATGCCACCACCTCAGGCACCACATCCACTGTCAACTCAGTCATCTGTGATTGGGGGACATGCTCCTCTACTTACAACCATAAGTCAATCACAGCTTATGACACATTTAGGTATGCAAGCCCCTTTGGGAATTCCTGGACAACAAGGTCCTGGGTCTGTGGGGAGCTCTCCTGGATCCAACCATACTTCTCCAGGCCAAGAAACAAGTGAAGACAGTGATGATAGCACTCTTTTGGTACGTATAAGTTTAATATTTAAACAAGCATGGTTGTATGTATAAAACAAAATTAAATCTTAAAGTGTACTTTTGAATTTATGCCTTTTAAATGGATATTACACTTATCATTTTTGCAAAGGCATTTCCAAACATCACAACTGATTTAATTCTCAATGAATTATAAAATTACTCTTACAATTCCTTGGTATTTTAACTTACTAAAGTAAGTAATCATTTTAAAATCTCCATAAACCAGAATTAAAACATCTTTCTTCTTCTGTTGGGTTTATTAGAAGTTTTCAGAACTAATTATTGGCATGGTCCAAAGTAGGATTGTCTTCTATCAATAGAACTGGTTTAATGTTCTTTTTAATAAATTGATGTTGATAATGGAGGATTATTCAGCAGGTTTAAGTTTGGATAGTGCCAATGAGTCTTGTAAAAGAACGTTGTGTATATTTTATTTTAAAGGCTTGTTTGTGTGTCAAATTGCAGACAGGATACTTATGTACAAGTGATTTTTAAATACATCAGAGAAGCAATTTCACTTGAACTTTTCAACTATTTTTGGACTGTTAACAGACTCTAGATTTAAAGTTTGAATTTATTTTTTAAACAAAATATAATGAAAGAAAATGGCCTTGATCCTGGTTTGTTGTTGTGAATGACATATTGGTAATGTGTCCTGTGTTCTGATGAACCAGTAACATCCTGTTTCGCTGTTGTGAATAGCACGTTAGTAACGTGTGGTATGTTTTGAAAAACTTATGGACATTATGTTTCTTGTTTTTACGTGTGGAAACGCTGTAACGCTCTATTTATGGTGATAGAAAACGAGCTCCCCTGTCACTGTGATAATATTAAAAATACATGAATTACGTTTAGATTCTTCTAGGTGGGTGTAAGTTAATTGGAGAATTTAAGTTCACGGTAAACCATCCACCGAGTAGGATTAACAACGTTTTTCTGACAAAAAGTGTAATTTTAGTAGAGCGAAATAATATATTTTTTTTTTCCATAAAGCTTAAAGAGTAGAAATGTAATGTGTGCGAGCTTAGAAACGTTCTTATAGATAAGACTTTCTCATTTCCGATTTTTAAATACAGAATTTACGTAAACACTGCTTTTATTAATTTCCCTTAAGTGAAGCCTGCTCTTTTTTTTTTCTTCTTCGTCTTCATTTGTATGACTAACCTTTCTGAGATTTTGGTCTTGTGTAAAGGATGAGTTATTAAAGCAGCTATCAACAAAAAAATACCCACTCTTATCGAGAGTTTTTGAACATTTAAAAAAGTGTCAATAATAACGTATTGAATGTTAGTGAATAGCAAAGGAGCAGATGGTACCGGGTAATAACTACTTTCCCGGTTTTAAAAGATAGCCACAGGCAGCGCTGTTGATGAATGCTATCGCTATGAAGCAGATGCTGTGTTTCCATTACACGATATCCTCACTTTTTTCTGTCTTTTTTTTTTTTTTTTTTTTTAAAAAAGCCCTTTTTGGTTGTTTTTTTTAGAGGGGGAAAAAAAGGAAAGGTTTTTTTCCCCAAATTTTTTT